ATTTTGAAATTTTGAAAATAGAACATTTCAATCTTTAAGTGATATATACTGCACTAAATAAATATTCAGATAAATTATTGAAAAAAAACAATAAAAACATATCTAGAAAAAATAAATATTTATAATAATTCATATTAAATAATAAATATAATAAAGATATTATTATATATATACAGTGTACTGATAAATTTAATAAATTAAAATTAAAACTAAAATAATAAAAGAATTAACAAGATTTAATATTAAAATACTTTTATATATAAAATCTAAAAACCGATATCTTAATTGCTTTTTTCTTTAAAATTTTACTAAATTTATAATATTCAAATATAAATAAAATTAATAAAAATATATATTATAAATTATTAATGTTTTTTATTAAAAGTGAAAGTAATACATCATTTGTTGGATCATATTTTATATTTTTTTTAGAGTTAGGTTAGGGTTTAGGGCTAGATTTGATATTTAAAGAGTATAGGTGGATTTTAGCAGGGCTTATAGCTTCAAATCGAGACCCCAAATTTCAGCATCAGCCGCGACAATTATTTTATTTAGAATCATATATAAAAACTGAATAAAAATTTTTATTAATTATTTTATTTAGAATCTACTGAAATAAAAATTTATTTTTAATCAGATTAAATTTATTATGTGTAACTGATCAATAATAAAATTTACCGTTACATAAAATTTTTTAGAAAACTTAATGTTCATTGTCCGAAGCGTAGCGGATGATAAGTACGTACTGTACGTAATGCGTACGTATTACCTATTATGGTACGTACTATGTACTCTTCATTTGTAAAAGCATTTATTGTGGCAGATCATAATGAAACAGATCATAATGAAATCAGATCATAATGAAATCAGATCATAATGAAATCAGATCATAATGAAATTTAACTTATTTTATATCCGATTTTTAAAATTTTTTGGAGCCTTTTTTGTTAGGTTTTTTTTTATAGTTGAGGTTTAGGGTTGGATGTGCTGTAGTAAACCGGTTCAGCTAATTTTACCGACACTCATTTCTCATTTCGTAGACACATTTCACCGACAATCAATTCACCGACATGTTTGTTTCACAGACAACCAATTCCTAGACAACTCATTTCGTAGACAACTTATTTCACCGACAGCTCATTTCACCGACATTATTACCATTAGAATTAGGGTTAGGTTAGGGTTAGAGGAATTATGAGAAATTGTTTTGTCGGTGAAATGAGCTGTATATGAAATGAGTTGTTGCTTACGTATCTAGGAATTGGTTGTCTGTGAAACAAACATGTCGGTGAAATGTTGTGTCTACGAAATGAGTGCCGGTAAAAAATATGGCGTATCCGTAGTAAACGCTTAGCATAGAAGTTAAATCATTCAAATAATCGAAACACATTTTTGCACATGCTAAATGCAGTCAACATACATAATGCATGTAATATATTAAAAAATATAAAAAATAAATTACAGAATGTCGGTAGAAATACAGATTACTAAAAAAAAAACAATAAACAGTACATTATTAAGGAACAATTGCTTTTACATTGGCTTGATAATTTGCGAGAGCAGTTTTTGCATGAGTCCAAGACGCCAATAAAGATTGCACATTAAGATTATTTATTTCTACATTCCCTTTCTTTGCATTGTTAATAAATTGCTGTGTAACAGAAATATGATCAATTTGCCTTGCCCAAAAAGTTTCGAAAAGTCCAACTTTATCATCAAAGAATTTCACATCTTTCATAACATTCTCAATGTAATCAGCGCTTTTCTTTAATCTTTTGACATCGTTTTCTTTTAATATCGCCTCTTGACTCAGCTTCGAACTCAGTTTTCTTCCATAATACCACCCAAGAACACCACCAGTAGCGATAGTCGCTATTAATGTTAAACCTCCATCTAGTTGTGGTGAAATAACATAGAGAGATGCATTTGAAAGTGAGCCTATACCAAAACCGATAACCATACCCATCTTGATAGCACTTGATTTTTCATGTTTACTACGATACCGAATATTTGATACTTCTTGATCAAGAATGTACTTTTCTTTTTCTAGGTTTGATTTATGAGTTTGAAAATCATCTGAAATACGGTTTAGGTTGCGTGATATATCTTTATAACCTTTTCGAATTAAATCACATTCTTTTAAAATTTCTGCTATAGTTAATTCAGATTTTGTTGAATAAGATATGAACTCAGAGTTTTTTAAATTAAGTTTTTCAAAATTTACAATAATATGTGTAGTTGATTTAGTTAAATTAGAACATTGTGAACTACTTGCTTTTGTTAAAGTTCGAAATGCACGCCCTTGTATTCCTATATCATTGACCAGTTGGGAAAGGATTTCATCCTTAATCGTCGATGCAGGATAATTTGCAAATCGTTCAAGTGTAGCTTCTATACCTTTCAAATCAATATTTGTTGGTGAAATAAAATTCCATTTATCTTGAATCATTTAAAATAATATGCTTCCTTATAAGTTATATGAGGGTTTTTAGTGACTTTTAACAAGAAAATATTTTGATGATACTTCGTTAAATAAGGTGCATATGTTTAGTAGATGTATTGGGTGGAAAATTTTGGTTTATCATATTAAAGAAAATAATACGTATCAGCTATTATTTCTATGATAAAAAAATATATCCATTTGATAATAGAGTATTTTACCAAAGCCTTACCTAAAAATACGGTTCTTTGAAAGGTATTTGGCAAAGTTGAATGTATAAATATTCATGGATCTTTTTTTTTTTTTATAAAAAGTATGTAGCAAATCGGTTATTATGTTGCAATGTTGCATGAGAGATTTATTATTGTATATATAAATATCAAATGCGCCAATTATTATAAATGGCAAAACTCTTGAAATGCATTAACGCAGTTTAATTTGTTTCTAAACTTATCGGGCTATCATTTTGCCGATTATCGTTATTTGTTACATGCGCGTTGTTTATTTGTTCTGCATATAGAGATGAAGTATCGGATGTAAGATGCAATGAGAAATCATTTTATTGGTTCTCAATCTTTATTAATATACTACAGAAATTAAGCATAAATTGTTTGCTTAAAACTGTTTTTAAAACTATGTGGGGGTGTGTCAAAAGAAATCAAGCAAAATTTTTTTAAGTAAATTTTTTTGAAACTTTAAACAATAATACCGGTAACTCAGCAAAAACTTATAGCGCTTTGCAATAAAGTGACATTATGATTGCATGATTATGATAAAGAGGAATCTCCGAGATTCTAATAGTGAATCAAATTTTGAGAATCTATATGAAATTATATAGAATTGTATACATTTTTTATATACAATTGTTTTTTTAAATCATGTTTTGATCAGTAATCGATATAACAAATAATTATTACATATTTATGATTAAATCAGTATATTTTTATTTTTTTTATATATGTAACATAGTTCTCTTGATAAATAACTAAAATGGCTGATGTTCAAGAAACCAAATTAAAGTATCGTTGAGGAGCTTGTTTTAGTTGTCAGAAATGCATATTTTGTGGAATTGATTCACAAAAAGAAAAATATAATTGTGACTTGTCTAATGTATCATATAGAGGTAACTGAACAGATACTGTAAAATACGCATTTACAAGAATCTTCAATCTGAATTGGATTAAAGGAAAAGTAGACTTTGTCTAGCAAAAAATAGAATATTATAATTATTCATTAAGTTCAAAAGAGTATTTTAGTTTTACTTTGTGCTCACTACAATAATATTTTGTTAAAATAATCTTCAAAAACAATAAAGACACAAGTACAAAGTAATATAACCAATTCAGAAGTAGATGCTATAATCTTACTATTCCAATTAGTGAAACTTCAAAAAAATATTATTAGAATCTAATGAAGAAAGTTATAGTGAGAAGGAACTTAAAAACTATCCCTTAAACTGTCTGGTTTAGTGAACAAATTTGCTTGCTAAAATAATTGGATGAAATAGAATATAAAAAAAAATTTTTTTTTATAGAGATTTTTATTACAACTAACTATGCTAACTCTCAAAAGCTTAAACTACATATTATACTTAATAGCCACAATATTACATATTTGAAATGATTCAAACAAAGGGTATAGATTTACACAATAGCTATAAAATATACTATTTTACTTAAGTTTTTGAGTCATATTATCTTCCTCACATTGCCTCCAAAATCAGTTCTGTGAAGTTGGTTATAAAGAATCTTTGATTAACTTTAATATCATATTATAAAAAATACCTTCATATAATAATTATAAAGATCTTTCATAATTGTCATATGAAGGTACCTTTTTTACTATTAAATTTGATCATAAGGACTATAGTACAATTAACTATATTTAGCAAGTTTTAGAAGTAGTGCTTAAGAAAATTTCTCAAGGTAAGAATTACATGACATCTAGTATGTAGTATACTTTTATTTTAGCTTAGAGAATATTGGAGTGTATTTTAATAAAATTTGGAATAATTATACAAAAATTAGATAAAAAAAAAGTTTAATAGGCAAATTTTTCTACTAGATAGTTTAAGGGATAATGATAATAAATTTTTATATAATAGCAAAATTAAATTTAAATATACTTATAAGGTTTTTATAAAGTTAGAAAATAGAACATCTTTTTAGACAAAATAGTATATAACTAAAGTATCTATAGTAGATGAATTACTTTTAAAAATTTATTTGAATATAGAAATTTTAGTAAACAAAATACTAATTAAACCAAATAATTATTATATCATATTCAAATCTGAAAAATAATAAGAGCAGATATTTAACTTGTTAATACTCAAAACTTTAAAAAATTTTAAGCTAATTACCAAAAATATAAATCTAAAAAGATTAATATAGCTTTTTTTATAATATTTATTAACCTAAATCTAAAATAAAATTAAATATAAGTATATAGTAATAAAATTTTATAATTCAAGAAATAAAAATTCTATTTCTAAATCTTCAAGTTTATCATTAGTTAAATTATTAATTACAAAAAATATCTTAAATATTTGTAAAGAAAATCATTGTACAATTTATAATTAACAATATTTAAATAAGTATAGAACTAAGAAAAATTATATTAAAATTACATTTATAATGATATCAATTTGAGTAATAAAAATAGTAAATTTATAATCTAAATATAGTAATTTATTTATATATTAATTAATATATAATTTAATTTAACAAACTAATTTGATACAACAATCTAATCTAATATAACAATTTAATCTATTGCAAAATTCTAATCTAAAGCAACAATTTAATTTAATATAATAGTCTAATTTAATGCAATAATTTATTCTAATATAACAATTTAATTTATTACAAATTTCTAATCAAATATAATAATTTAATTTAATACAATATTCTAATCTAATAAAATATTCCAATTTTATTCTAATATCAATTTTTTTAGATTAATATCATATGTTATCTTTATTTTACAATTTATTTTTAATATATATTGCTTTATAACCTTATAGAGTATTTTTTAAAATTTTTATTTTACTTTATAACAAACTATTAAAATAATATTATCTACAATTAAATATTTTTTAAAATATATCAATAAAAACAAAAATACTAAAGATTATTATTAGAAATTTTTATTAAAATTTGATCAACAAAAAATTTCTATATAACTATTTTCAAATTATTAAATAAAAACTTCAAAAATTTTAAATAAATACAATTAGTATATATCAAACTCTTTATAAATATACTATTAAATATGATATAGCTTTTGTATTAAATAATAAATTATAAAGAATTATTATAACTTGTGCTAGTAGTTAACGTTAACCATTAGTTATTTTTTTTAAAAAAACAGTGTAGTTAATATTAACCATCAATTATTCTTTATTAAAAAGTTTGAGTTAGAGATTAGGATTAGAGTTAGGGTTAGAGTTAGAGTTAGAGTTAGGGTTAGGATTAGAGTAGGGATATAGGTATATATGTAAAATTATTAGCTGGAATTTTTTATTTAGAAGTCAAATGCTAGTTATCATAATAAAATTTTAAGATATTTATGATTTTATATTGCAATAGTTAACTTTAACCACTGGCGCAAGTTAAAAATATCTATTATAAATTATATAATTTATTTATAATCTGCTCTATTAAAAAAATTACTAAAAATTGAAAAGATAATTTAAAAATATACAACTAGTAATAGGTATTTAAAGTTTAAACAAATACTGTTTTAAATAATTTTCTAGATATAAAAAAACTAATTTAATAGAATTAAAATTAGAAAAATATAGCAAAAAAAATTAATATATATACTAAATATATTTAAATATTTAATTAAAAAATAAAAAACTTGATTTTTTCTAAAAAATCAGTTATAATCATAAAAATTTAGCAAAAAGAAATAAAATCCAAAAATACTTATAATAATATTACTATAGAAGCAAAGGTCTTTATGATAAGAAAGAGAAAGAAAGAAGAGTTTGATCATAGAGAAAAGCAAGAAAAGATAGAAAAGATATATCTCATAAGGTTCAAAACAAGAAAAAC